CCCCCCCCCCCCCCACCAAACACATCTGTCACACTGAATGTGTAGCACCTGGTGGATTCTCAATAACGACCAGACACCTGAGAGAGTTTCTGCTTTCTGCCCAACGTAGACACCTTTGATTAATTTGGAGGTTGTTAGATGGTGTGAGGTTTAAAGTGACCGCAGCGCCTCTATACAGACAGTGTACCATCGTATTTCTTTTGAAATGTTTAAAATGGCCAGTAACTTGTTACGGGTATAAGTCCAAAATAGCATTAAAGAGAACACATAATTTACAGAAAATCAGACATTTATTTAGATCAAAAGTATTTCTGTGCCTACACTAAATGTTGGGGCATTGACATTGAAGGCTAAAATTACTTCTGGCATTTGTAAGTAGTTTTAAAAAGACAGGCTGTAGGCTAACTTCTGATAGGTTGTGAGGTACAATCAACAGGAGAGAAAAGAAGCTTCTTGAGAGAAACCCTTAATGGAGGAGTGTTTTAAAGATCTGTTGCATGTGAAGAGATGCTGCCCTCTCCTGGCCTTCACCGGCAACGACATGTGTAGGACTGCCTGGATGAAAAAATAACAGCTAAAATGTGAGTTTAAAAATACAGAAAAATCAATAATCAATCAAGTCTCCAACGTGTCTCAGTAGGTTTAAGAAGATCTAAAACATGTTACAGAAGTACAACTATTGAAAGAGACATGGCTACGTAAACCTGCAAACGCGACAAATAAATCCAGGAAGTGGGCTACAACTATAGTGCTCAAATTAGGATCCCAGTTTCTTAAGTGCTTGTTCAATGATGATTCAATAACTCACAACAACATGACTTCATAAACCATTATCATGACAATTGATAGTACATAACTTTAACTAATCAGATTGTTTCATTGATTACATTTAATTTAAGTTAAGTGAGTTTACCTTGTCATTTTGTTGATCTATTTTTGTCTTTTTTAGATAAACTTTGTTTTCTTGTAAATTGCACTTAACCCTTCCAAAGTGTATTTCTGGATGAGTTGAGGGCACATGTACAGAGTCTCTCATGAACCCGTTAGGGCCAGTCAGGCTGGTTTTCCTGCAGTGTAGTAGATCCATGGCGGTGCATTGTCCTGAATCATCCCTGCAATCCCCATCTACCAGAAGCTGACAGCAGGCCTCATAATGCAGAATGCAGAATGTTTGGAATTGAAGTAAATAGGAAAACATCAAACTTTTCTAAATAAAGATAAGCCTGAACATTCTCTCTCAAAAAGTCTTGATTCAACTTCATCATCCCAAGAAGGTATTAATGCCCAGAGTTTCACCCAATTAAGGCTGCATCAACTTCTAACATGGATAGAGAGGCTATGCCCAAGTTAAACTTCCCTGTGAATGTGTGTGTGTGTCCGTTCACTCCCCGGCCCTCTGGTTTTCGTCCCTGGCGGGGTCCCCTCCTGGAAACATCTCCGGGTTCTCTGCCAGAGTGGCTCGGACTTTCCTCTTCTCCTTGAACCTCCCGGAGTGAGACACCTTGACGTGGCGCCCCTTGCTGCCTGGGGTCTTGTCCACGATCCTCTCCAGCCGGGCGTCCAGCTGAGGGTCCCGCAGCGTGTCCTCGGGTGGGAGCGCTGTGGCCGATCCATGCTGAGCAGGGGGGGCGTTAGAGGCAAACTCTGCAGGGATCTCATACAGGACCTTGGGCTGGGACTTCTTTCTCCTCAGGAAAGTCAGCTTCCACCAGCCAGGAGAAGGCTCTGCCATGATGGAGGGAGGGTGGGGGGCTAAGGGGAGGGAACAGGAGAGGAAAAGATTATTAGAATACAAATAAATATTAAGAAAGACATTTATCATAAACAATCTGAAACCAAAAAAAATGCATCTTGCATATGTATCTGTCTTTATATGTGTGTGTGTGTGTGTGTGTGTGTGTGTGTGTGTGTGTGTGTGTGTGTGTGTGTGTGTGTGTGTGCGTGCGTGTGCGTGCGTGAGGGAAAGAGAAACATTTGAAGTCAGACAAATTGAAAAATACATTAAATCATTTATCAATAATCAAAGGGATCACAATAACAGTTACATCAACAGCAACAACTCAAGAAGGGGTCTTCCACAATTTCAGGCAGAGGACCCCTCTGCTCATAAAGAGGCAGCAGAGCAACTATAGTAGTTGCATATTAAACTGGGCCTTCAACACTGTAGGGCCTTCTGAAGTGTCATGAATAAACCGTTTTAATTTGTGTTGTGTTAATGTTTGGTGAATGTCTATGATTATGTATTGTTAATGTTTATGTTTATATATGGTTAATGTGTTGTTAATGTTTATGTTTATATATGGTTAATGTTAATGTGTTGTTAATGTTTATGTTTATATATGGTTAATGTTAATGTGTTGTGAATGTTTGTGTATGTATGGAGTAGAGGTCGAAGTAGATGTGTTGATCTACTCTTCATTCCTAATTACAAATCTAGAAAGGTTTGAAAGGTTCTAAACAGTTACATGTATCAACTCAAAGGAACTAACACAGTGAGAGGAGTCGGTCTGCACATCCCTGTCTGACACCTCTGTCACCTTAAATGATCTGCAGAGCCCCTTCCTCTCAGGTGGACAGGACAGGTTCTGAGGTGATTGGTACAGCAGGTCAAAGGAGGACATCTCCATCTGGCATTGGCTGCTTATTTAGCTCATATTATGGTTTGTAGTGTACACAAGACAAGAAAAGATAAGATAAGATAAGACTTTATTTGTCCCGAATGAAATTGTTGTGCCAGAGTTACAACAATACAATAAACACAGCAGTATAATGGTAAAACTGTACACTAAAAGTGCAGTAAAAAGAGCAATTACATATCTACAGGAGACATGAAACATAGACGGTCACAAAATGAATGTGAATATTATCAGTAATTAGTAGTTAAAAAAAAGACCGTAGTGGCAGATATACGTAATTGCACGTTTATCATAGCACATTGTTAATTATAATAATATTGCACATGTTATATAGCAGCAAGTGTTTTGTAATGATGGTAAAATATTTACATTGCACATAGTGTTGGTGTTGAAGTTCTCAGTTCCCTCTACTGAAGGGTGAAGAGTTATAGAAAATGAAATTATCGTGCCATACCGTCCAATGCCATACCATACCATACTCTATCACAGTGGTTCTCAAACTTTTTTCAATCATGTACCCCCTTTGAAAAAAAAATTCAGCCAAGTACCCCCTGATCAGCGCAAAAACAATTTGTTAAGGAAAAAATGCCTATATAAAGAGGTACAGTACAGCGCTGCACCATCAGAGTCTGATTTATTAAAACAACAACATTGTAACTGAGAAACACTTAAATGCTACATTTCAAAATTTAACATCATGCAATAACACTAAGAAGGCATTAGTTGCATTGAACTGATCTTTTTAATAAGTTGTCCTTACAATGTAGTGAGAATGTGCTTGTGCTTCACTTTGTCATTCTGACAGGGAGGCAACCTGCAGTTATTAGCCTACACTTTGCGTTTTGAAATATGTGTAACTCTGTTAATATAAAACCCACACTGCTCAAACTTCGTTACTTTTCCTAAAATGTGTATATTTATTTATTTTGGGGCGTGGGGAATGAAGAGAAAAAAATATATGAGCATTTTATGAGCATGGGATTTTGACCCCTCATATAAACATATGCTGCGCTATACTTTGCGGCAACACGCCGTTGTCAAGCAACGCTTATTGTTTAGGTCCTTTTGAAAAGCAGGCAGTCAAATAATTAACTAGAACTAGCTAGATCTTATAGATTTGGACATAGACGTGAGTGAATTATAACCGGACGGGAGAGAGAGATCAGAGATCAGATCAGCTGCTGCTGACTGAGAACACGCAGCTCTGCATGATCACATCTCTGTCGCTGTGACGGACCGTTGAGTGGAGCAAAATTAAATACACACTTAGCTAGTTTATATACTCTGGAATTAGCTAAACTAGTTAAGAATATATTTATTCTTTACTGTCGGGTCACTTATTACAGGTTCAGCGAGCTGCACGAGACTGACGGGCTGTCAGGAGAGAGAGAGGAAAAGAGAGCACCCCGTTATCTTTTCCCATTTTATTATCCAGAATTACTGTAAACCTTTGAATAAAGTAGTTCATCTACTATTAG